TGAAAAGTGATAGGAGGATTCCATTGAAATAATGGTTGAAGTATGAGGATTTAATTAATATAGTAAGAATATATATGAGAAACCGAAGTGAAATTTCAAACCAAAAACTGAAGGATAAAATGTATATATAATTTATGTTTAGATAAAGGGCAAATTACACAAACAGTTTTTGTAGTTTAAGATTTGTGTCATTTTAGTTCTTAACTTTTTAATTGTGACACATTTGACCCTGAATTTAAATTTTGTTTCAAATAAGAACAATCAAAGATATTTCCTTTGTAAATGGTTCATTTCAAAGGTAAAGTCGTTATATAACTTATTTTGTATTGGTTAATTTCTATGTTATTTGGAAATTTAATGGCTTTTTTTTAATAAATAATATTGAAACTTTATTGGTTTTAAAGTTATGTTTGGTTTGGTTTCAGAATCTATTTTCAGAAATTTTTTCTAAGAAATTAAAAATTAAATTGGTGAAAAAAATTAAAAACACATCATTTTTATATAATTTTATTTTTTAGAGGGTAGAAATAATTTTTTAAAATAATTGTTTTTGATATTTATTTTCGTTAAATTAGTTTCTGTTTTTTCAAAAGTCAAACATGACGATAACTTTGATGTTATAATTAAACCAATCCATTAAATCAAAAAATCCAAAACTAAAAAACATTTCATATATTAAACATATCAATTACACATTAAAAGCTTAATAACTATCCAAAAATGTCTATTACCAACAAATACAAACATCTATTACATGATACCCATCAAAAAACAACCACTTATTATATGATCATCATCAAGACATATACTAAAAATTATTTTGGTAAAAAAAAATAAAAATAAAATAAAAGATTTATTATTTTTATATAATTTTATTTTTGGTGAGTAAAATTAATTTTTAAAAATTCAAAAATAATTTTTTGACATTTAATTTTGTCAAATTAGTTTATATTTTATTAAATTGACAACTTTACCCTTGAAATAGAGTAACAGTGTCTTCAATTGTCCTTATTTAGAACGAGATTTAAAATTCATAGTTAAATACATCACAATTGAAAAGTTAAAAATTAAAATGATATAATTTTCAAATTATAAAGACCGTTAATATAATTTCCCCTTAGATAAAATATGTTCAAACCTTTTGCTAGATTACAAGTTGGTTTTAGTTTCCTGCTCCCTCCATCAAGTGCTTGCAATTACACCAGAATGAGACATTAGTGAATTATTATCTAATTGTGGGGCAATTTGAGAAGCTAATAAAAAGTTAGTTTTTAGTTTTTAAATTATTTTGAGTCACACAATCTCTAACATTTTTTACACACAAAATGACAAAAAAATTAAAAAAAAGTTAAAAAGTCAACTTTTAATCAACTTTCCATATCACTCCTTAATTTTGTCTCTTAATTTTATTTTTTAATAACGTGACTAAGATCCATATAAAGTGGTCCTACATTCTTCTCCTTTCCTTTTTAACCCTCTCTAATTTTAAGTCATTGAGATAGAACTGAGAAGGTAAAATTAGGAGAACAATTATTTTTTTAATATTTATCACCATCAACTCCTGTATGGACCTCCTCTTACAACACCAGCACCATGACCATCTCCGGCCGTATAACTGAGATTGAAGGCCACAGTTCCAAAAAAAAATGACATGTTGACTGTGACAAAACAAAACTAGCAGTAAAAGTGTCTGCAAGAGACATGTGTGCCTTTGTTATTTTGTATTTGAGTCATGAAAATAATTAGGAGAAATTACTATTCAGTACAAATTTGAAAAAATTATTGTATATTAATAAAAAAGTTTATGATATTCACCTTTATTTCTATCAATTTTATAGTCAAATAATGATTTTTTATTTTTTACTTTCTAAATACTCGTGGCTCTGCTTTGGTTCAAACATATTAAATACAACAATTTTTCTAGTAAAATCATCAACTCATCATTTTCATATTGTTTTCTTTTTTTGTGTGCAAAAATAGTAATTAAAAATTCAAACAGTTTGACTTCGTTTTCCAAACTTGGTTTTTGAATATTTTTTTTGAAAAATTTAGAAACTATTTTGACGAAAATAAATGCAAAAAGATATTTTTTAATTATTTTTGTCCCATAGAAGAGAAAATGATATGAAAACAATGAGTATTGTTTTTTTCTTTTTTTTCACCAAACTAGCTTTTAAAAAAAATTCAAAAGCAATTTTTGAAAACTTAATCAAATTATATTTACCTAACATGTTTTTGATATTTTTCAATTAATAAATTATGAAAAAAAATAATAATACACCCTTTGACCAAATTTTATTGATGATTGCATGTCAACATTTGTTGCCACATCTTACTGCCGTCCCCAGTCGACACCAAAAATAACTTATTATTGGCCTACACAATATTTTTTAGAGTTAATTACTTAAAAGTTTTATTTATAAATGTTATAGTAATTCAGATTCTATTTAAATTTTTTTAAATTAATAAGTCCTATTTAATAAAATTAAAAATATTATCAGTTTTTCTCAATTTTTAAAACTAATCAATTTTCTATAGTAATGTTTTAGATAATTATTTCACTAATAAAAAAAAAATAGAGCATAAGATTAAATGTTTTCACTTTTCTACTTATTAATTTGATTCAATTATCCAATAAAATCGAGAACATTAATATTTTTTTTCCAATTTTAAAACTGATAACACTATCAGTTTTTTCAATTTTCTTTTTTTAAAAAAAACAAAACATTTAGTTTTTCTTTTTCTTGCACAATTTTGTTTTTTAATTTTTTCAATTTGAAAGTTTTAAAAATCAAAATAAATGTTAAATTATCATGTTCCTTTATAGGTAATCATAAATGATGAACAATCATTATTTGAAAGGCAATTATGACTATTAAAAATTTAATGAGACTTAAAAATTTAAAATTTTTTAATTAAGACTTAATAGAATATAAGTTTATAAATTAAGATTGGTGGGTAAATATCACTATTTTTTAAAGTAATTTATATGTAAATCACATCAGGGCCTTAGACCACCGCCTCACTTGGATAGGCGAGTGTCGTTAATGGATGATTTTACTATTACATCTAGAGGTTGTTTGGGATGTTTTAAATAAGTGTATTTTTTTATTTTTTTAGACTAAAAAATTGAGGAAGAAAATATGGATGTTTGGGTTAATTTTTTGACTTTTTATGGAAAAATGTGTAATAAAAAATTGTAAAAATTGATTAAAAAATTATATAAATTAGTGCGTAGGGAAAAATTAGGATTGAGAGTTGTGCAGTCGTAATTGTTGACTTTTGATAAATAGTGTTAACTTTTTAACTTTTGAGTAATTTTTTGGCTTTTTGACCTTTTTGCAATATGCCAAACTTAGCCTTAATATTTTTTATAAATAAATTATAAATATATTCTCTGAAATTTATTTAAAATAAGGATCCTTTATAATTTAAAAAATTATAAATACTCTTTTATCATAATTTTTTATTTAATAAAATTAACTGAAAAAATAAAATTCCTAATTATTCTCTTATATAAAGATAAAATTACTTAAATTATTAATTAAAATAAAAATATTATTAAAAATTACAAATTGACTTGATGATTTATTAATAAAAGAGTCTATTTGTTATAAAATTAAGAACTTTAAGAGACGAAATATAATTTTTAAAATTACAAAAAAAATCATATTTTAAACAAATTCTCTCAAAATGTATTTATAATTTATCTTCTTTTTATTTATTTATTTATTTTTTTAAATGAGGCTTATTGTCGGCATACATGGGCATGCATGCACTGTGGAGTCATCTCAAAACACTTTTAAAGTGGAAAGTGTGAATCTGTTGTGGGACTAATGACTAGTGCTTATTTTGCTTTGCATCCTATATCTATCATATAAGTTAGGTCATAATTTTTTGTGTCATGGCTTTCAACATATCGCATTGTAAGTGAGAGAAATTAGACTTTGTTTTTTATTACATGATTAGATTGAATATCTTAATTTTAATGGATAAGATTACTATATATTATTAAAATCTAAAGAGCTTTCTATAATTATTACATTAATTTAAAATTTGAAATTTCTCTTAATTAATTTTCAATTTAAATAAAGGTACTTTGAACCAATTCTTTTACAATAATATACGTCGACTAAAATAGTTTAGTAGGAAAAACTTGAACCAACGGCGATCAAAATAATTTTTAATAGTCAAAAATTGAACTTTTGGCAACTAAATCTCTTTTAGTCGTCAAATTTGATCGCTAAAAGTGTAAATTGTTGTAGTCTCTTTGAGCAAGTACGGATTACAGATTTTACTATATTATAAACAATAATATTACAAAATAAGAAAAATAACCAAAAACAAAAACAATATTAAATTTAAAGGGGCAATTGTGAATAAAAAGCACAATCTAAAAATAATGGTGTCGCTTATGGAAATCAGTGCACAAATTTAACATATAAAAAAGACTCGCACTATATTCAAAAGAGAAACTTACACCGCAGTTCATGAAAATAAAATATATTATTTTTTTCACTTTATGATTTTCCAAATTTAAATTTATCCCAAACATTTTATAATTTTTTTACTACTTTTGTGCAATTAGTGAGTTCCAAGTTTTTACTATCACACATATATATATATATATAGTTTTTTTTGTTATAGGAAAATTTTTTCTATCCTCTCACAGGTTCAAGGCATCGCCCATTACAGAGATCATCAGGGTATTCTGTTAGCCGTTCTGAGTGAGAAGATTATAATCTGAAAATTTGTCCTGATCTCCCAAGACAAGTTCCGTTTAAGTCAGAACTCGCACAGCGAGGAGCATTAAACTCACACCAAGTGTTGATTAGACAACTTAAAATCCAACCTCTTAACTACCTATGCTTTACCTAAGAGATTGGTCAAAAAAAAAAAAAAAAAAAAAAAAAAAAAAAAAAAAAATTAAACATAACCACGATGCCATCACCTTAGGTTATATATACGTAGTTGTGTAAGCAGATGTTTGTTTTGGGGGAAGAGCCCAAAATTTAACAGACAGTGGTGGCAGTTGAGAGTATTATGTCATCCTCTTTTTGCTTCTTAATTTATCCCAACACAACACTACCTTTTCTCTGACTTCTCTGACATCCCACCACTGTCCCCCCCACTCTCCTCTTTCCTATCTTTGCTTTCCCATTATTAAACATCAACACAACACCCCACCTTCCTCCTCCTCCCTCTCTCTCTCTCTCTTCATTTCCTTTTCTCTTTCTTAAGTTCTCACAAGTCCTGATGATCAGCTGTGTACTAAAATTGCACCAAACTAGGCAGATGCATCTCTACAATTTAAGTGGTATGTATGAGCATCTTCTATTCACCAAACTGCCTCTTTAGCAACACCAAACTGCCTTTTTCTTTTTTTTTTCACTTGATTTGGATGTTGTTTATGGTAGTCTGTTTGTTTGTTTGATTTTGTTCTCTTCTTGGCTTTAGTTTTTATGGTGTTTAGCCTTTCTCTCTGGCGGTTGGTTACTTCTATAGATTTCAAAAAGTCGCAAATACCTTATGTTGTTGTGTTGTAACCTCTATTAAAATCTTCTTCTGTTAAAATGGTTATGGTGATGCTTAATCTTTCTTTCCTTATTTCTTTCTTTGTATATATGAGAAAATTATATTATACTTTTCACTTTCTAGTTTTCTCCCAAACTTCAGTTTGATTAAATCTTCAAACTTTAACATATGTTTCATTATAATTCTCCAGTCACTCACTGTTAAAACTTGAATAATTCTAAGTCCACATAATCGATCACAGAACCGAACATAACCACTCTCTAACGTTGTGTTTGGTTGGGAGATTTGAGGAGAGATTTTGAAAGAGAAAAGAAAAAAGTGGGTAAAATTAGGTGAAATATAAGTATATTCACATTTCACTTACCTTTTCCATTTTCATTTCCCTTTCCAAATTCCTTCTCAAATCCCTCAACCAAACACAACATAAGGGAACTCATTAAATCTGTAGGTTCCCACATATAAGAGAGTTGTGTCTGATGAAATTTACGTGGACGAACTGTTAAAAAACTTTGGACAAGTGTGAGGGCATGTGAGCACGTTTTAAGGGTATTAGAAAGAAAAAATTATATGATAAATTATACTTTTCACCTTTTGTTTTTCACACAAATATCATTGAAGTCTTGAGAACTTAATTGCTACAATTAAATAATAACATACCAAAATAAAATTCAAGTAAAATGGAGTGTAAAAAATATAATTTACTTTATATATATACATACATATTATGGAACTCTTTTCTATATTTTGGTTTCCAGTGGTTGCATAGGGTAATGATCCTATAACTTTATTCAATACAGAGTCGCAGCTTACATTATTGGGAATTACAGGAATGGACAAAAATAAAATATATATGTATATATATATATATATATGTATTAGGGAACATTACCGATAAGGCGATCTTTTCTCTTCAAATTACTATCAAGTCCTATTAACTTTTAATTTGGACAATTAAGTCTTATTTTATATAATTTCTCCCAAATGAGTTCAAAACTCCATAATAGCATGTTTTATTCTAATTTTACCCTTTGACATGTGAACAAATTCCAATGGAGAAAATTATATCATGGACACCCTTGACAATTGACCCCCCCCCCCAAAAAAAAAATAGTGACATTTTTGCTCATGTTAGAGGTGTTTGTGATTTAAATTTAAGGATAAAATAGTCTTTTTATTGCAAAAATTAATAGTGATGGAAGGGTGTGTGGAAATAAAAACTCCCTAATTTGGGATAAGTTTTAGTTATCCAGCTTAAAGTTGATAAGGCTTCATGGTAATTTGGACAAAAAAGTGATACTTATTAGTAGTTTTTCCTATATATTGTTGGAATATAATATAATGGATTATGTGTCATGGTAGGTCTCATTCTGTTTTAAATATAATGGGTTATGCATATATATAAATGACATTTATTGCATAGATATTCGTAGGAGATGAAAAAATTTGGTTAAAAACATCCGGTGATAAATAATCTTTCTCAAAATGAAATTAGTGCTTCTTGCATGCAACTCTATTTGAATTTTTGATATATTCTTCTAATAAATTTCAGCTCTCTGAATCTTTTTATTACCCCTCACTCATTATAAACTGCTTAATGATTTTTCACATGTAGAAGGCATTGTTTGAAGTCTGGATTGGATTTTGGGTCAAATAAGAGAGAGAGAGAGAGAGGACTGGGGAGGGAGGATATATTTGTTTTTGTTGCATCATGAATGTTTTCCAAAATTTCAATTAAGAACTTATATTTTCTATAGATTCTTTCACCCAATTCAATTGTTACTACTTCCAATAAGATTGAAGTTTGATGATGGGTAAGGTACTATGTGAGACTAACCAACTAGGCCTAGCCTAGTTGGCCATCATGCCTTCCTTAGGGTTTAGTCCCAAGACCATAGGTTCAATTCTCCTTTAAAGGAGTTGAATTAAGGGAGTGCAAACACTAAGGTGTTTTGTCAAGGGTGGGGGGATTTTCTCCCATAGGTGCTAAATCTAACAACTAACAACTAACATTTGTGGATCGAAAAAAAAAAAAAAAAAAAAAAGGTACTATGTGAGACTCTAATCCCACATCAGCTGAAGAGGAAGACCTAGGTGTGTTTATAATTATAACCCCTCGGCACCCCTTCCAAAATTGGCTGCCCCTTTGCACTAGAAGGACTCGAGGCATTATGTACTCATTTTCTAGTTCCTTATGCCATTACACTTGTAAACTCAAAATTTAGACAGGGAGAACATTTTTCAGCATCTTCAACATATGGTTGATGTTTACTTGCTATTTAGTCATCAGCTTAATGTATAAATGGCTTCCCTCTTTTAGCATAATGTTTAGTATACAGCTTTAGTCCTTTGGTGTAAAAAAGAAGTTGCCCAGTCTATTTTTTTTTTTTTTTTTTGGGCACAGGACTGTTCTTTTTCTGACTCATGTTCCAGGTCACCCTCATACACATGATTAAGACTCTAGGGGATTATTCTCTGATTTGTCTCTCTTCTGTGCTTGATTTTGTGCCTTTATTTAAGACTCTAGGGGATTATTCTCTGATTTGTCTCTCTTCTGTGCTTGATTTTGTGCCTTTATTATGATTCTTTGTCTCACTTGTTCTTGCTCTTGTATTGAGTTCCCTTGAAGGACTGTATTTTATGCTATTGAGGTTCTGAATTTGGTGTGTAACTGTACTATCAACTAGAGATTAGGTACTTTCCTTTATATGGAACTACATATCTAGAATTAAATTACATTTCTTTTTTCAATTTCTTGTTATCCCTTGTGGACAACCAAGCATATTGTTTGTAATACAACTCATTACATAATTTCCTACAGAGTAGTTGTTTAACAATTGATGTCTGCATTTTAGTCTATTGCAAGGTTTTTTCTGAAAAGTGGTTCTTCTAATCTTTCAAAATGATTGGTGTTTTTTGCAAACTTTGAGAGTCAATAGCATTTTATACTGATATTAGCATTAGATAGCTGTGGATACATGTTAGACAGTATTAATGAGTCTCGAGTTGATGCCTGGATAAACTATCACAAAAACAATAAATCAAAGGGGAATACTGAATCGTGCAGTAGCGTCTACAGTGAGCTGATTTGGTAGATTAATCATATTGGAGGATGAATTCAAATAATCATAATATTAGGCATAATTTAACAGAACCAAAAAATTTGGTAGGACCTGTTCATTAATGAACATAGTTTAGATGGAGATTTTGAGATGAAATAGTTGCACGGCTATGAAAGAACAGAAGTACTTAAACGCACTCCTATTAAGCAGTCTTCGGTGATCAAAAGAGGGAGAGTGACACAAATGTTTCCTTTTGGGCGACATGAAAATGATTGAAGCAATCTTATGGTTCTAAAAAAAATGTTGCAAGACACAGAATTAGATGAATTACTGATTTATAGGAAGAAGTTTCCCTTGATGGACTAGAATTTGATGCAGCCAATGATAAGAGGCACCACTGAGGCTTAAAATGTAACAGATGTAGGTGAGAGTTAAAGTTTTATATGTGTTGAGTCATACAACAGCCATGAGATGAGGCTATCGAATACTAGCTGTTAGATTTTTATTCTTGGCAATCCCATTTAACAAAACTCGTTTCAGTTGTAATTTTATTTGATCTTTTATTTCAGTGAAGTTATGAGTTTTAGATGCGAATCCAACCCGAATTGTGCCTGTGCAGAGAAGTTTGTGATCTTAATCCTATCATGTTTGCCACTCCGCTGACTATGTTGGGGATCGAGCTGCTCGGTCAGCTCGCAGGGGTCTAGGGGGCAGCGCCCCTTGGCGGGTTCGGGGTAGCGCCCCTGAAGCAAAAAGCAAAAATATAGTTGAACTTGCTTGTCCGCTCGAGCGGCCGTTTGTGCGCTCAAGCAAAGAATGTTTGGTTCTAGAAATTTGACCTGTTTGCAAAAGTTCTGGGAGTTAGAATATTATGCTCGAGCGGCCATTCTTGCACTCGAGCGGAGATCGCAGATCAATTTTTCTGTAAATATGTGGTTTCATCTATTTTTAGGGTTACAGCTTCCATATCTTCTTCTTGTGCATTAGGGTTTTCATCTGGAGCTTTTTTGTTAGTTTCTTTGATATTTGTTTGAGTTTAAATCTGGTTTGAAAAGTACACATCAAAGGATTATTTGTTTCGTTCAATACAAAAGAGAGAGTTGTTCTTCGGTGGATTCCGTGGAATTTGGGCTTGAAGCTTTGGTGGATTCCCAAATGACTCATTGTCGTGATTCGACATCGGCGTTGTGGATTCAACGTTGGGTAAGACAATTCCGAGGTGAAGACGGGGCTGGAAGAGGCACATAGGGGTCGGTTCGATTCGAGTGTAGATTCGCTAGATAATTGAGAGTACACTTGTGTAATTCCTTTATGTCTTCTTAGTAGATTGTTTTGTGGCTTTTACCCTTGGTTTTTTATCACAATTGGAGGCCCTCCAATTGTGGTTTTTCCACGTTAAAATCTTTGTGTCGATTTATCTTGATTGTTTGATTGAGATTGTTATTTACTACTTAAAATTGATACATAATTACAAATCAATATTTAGGGGATTTCTAGATTTTTCACTAGCCAATTTCATGCATTTTAAATTTAACAAAAAAATTTAAGTTTAGGACTTCTTTCATTGAAAGATCTGATGATGACCCATATGCTCTGAAATTATTAGAAATTTTAGCAACGAAATTGTTCATCAATGTTAAGGTTGTTGAATAAAGCAGCACTATGCTTCCTATTGCATATACGATATGTAATTTTTGAAACCCCATGGATTTGAATATATTTATATATATTTTCTGCATCGTAGTGTTGTTCATTTTCTGTGTACTTCTCTTCATATTTGTAATGTAATAAAAATCAACAAAGTGAATGAAAAACTTGGTCCTTAATTATACCAATTAACACTACATCCAAAAGCTACAAATTTAATCTTTATGCTTTGACCTCATCAATATTTAGAACAAATCATAGATCGTTGAATCATATATCACATCACATAATTTTGTTTTCTGCTTTCACTAAATTACTGTCAATTTTGATTTGCTAAATTATCCCATTTCTCACATTTGCAGCACAAGAAGATAAAGCCTTCAAGGGAAATTAAATTCAAATCATGAAATCACGAGCCTTTGATCTGGAAGTAGAGACATTCGATGAAAATGACTCAGACATCAGCAGCCAAGTTGCCTCCAACATAACCATCTCGGACAGCCTCACCGTCTCTCCCCACCTCACTAATTCCTTACCAACTGAACCAATTTCCCTCGACTTAACTCTCTCCTTTAACTCAAGCAATGATGATTTAGCAGGAAGGGACTCAATAGGAATTTCAATATCAAGCACAAGTGAGAGTAGCAACGAGATTGTATCCCGAACTGCTGCTTCAGCCCTTCCACGCGTTTTTCCTTGCAATTACTGTCAGCGGAAATTTTTTAGTTCACAAGCCCTTGGCGGCCACCAGAACGCACACAAGAGAGAGAGAACACTGGCAAAACAAGCCATGCGAATGGGAATTTTCTCGGAAAGGTATGCCAGCTTGGCATCTCTGCCTCTCCATGGATCATCATCATTTAGGTCCTTAGGAATCAAAGCACATTCTTCGGTGCACCATAGCTTTGTACCACAAGTTAGGCCATTTGATTTTAGAAGCAGTGTGAGATTTGAACAAGGGCACACGGGTCATCCAATTTTCATGGAGGATGAAGAGGCCGGGCTGTTGTGGCCTGGTAGCTTCCGACACATAGATGAAGAACAAGTCACTCATCCAAATATAAATTTCTTCGAGGCAAGTCCATCGGTGGACATAGATGAACCTGCTCCAGATCTCACACTGAGACTTTGACTAGTTTATTATGCTGCAAACAGCTTCATTGTTCTGCTATTTTATCTTCTCTGTGCTGCAAGATACACTTCTTGTGTTCTGTTTTTTTTTTCCCCCCCCCCCCCCCCCCTTCACTTTTGTATCTTGATTTGTATGTTTTTTGCAGAAGATAAGGTTTTTACAAGGTTTATTTGGTGATCCTCTTCTTGCTATGATATATATTAGTATTATGCTGTTTGATATGACTTATTTGTGTTATTTTCTCCTTCTTTCTGGCCATTCCCTCAGGTAGCTTTGGTGCATGAATATCATTCAAGTTGTTATAGTATGGAAGGTGTATGAAATGGTCTCATAAGAGCTAAAAAACTAAAACGTGGAGGATGATGAGGCCATAGCACGTTGCTAAGATGGTGGTAAGAGCTAACAAACTACGACATCTATGATTTGCAACAAACAATTCAATGTGTTGTTGCATGAATCTTCAACACGGTCTAAACCAATTTGGATAATTTAGTGAATGGATGCCAAAATAATAAGCCCCAAAATAAAGAAAGAAAGAAGCATTGAAATGAAAGTAAGCACAATGGCATGCCTGATTACACACAACTTTGTACTCTCTTTTAATCGGCAAAATAAAAGATTTATTGATGAATAGAGAAGGACAAGAAATACAATCAAATCAGATCAATAAGAATGGCCAGGACAAAAGCATGATTGTTTAAGAAGAATATCCCAATATAGTTGGAATACGATTGCTTAAGAAGAATATCACAATAAGGTTGGCATATGCAACAAACCAATCAAGAGCAAATTGCAAGTCAAGTTGGCGAGGCAATGACACCAAAACACCTAAATAAAGATAAAGGCAAAACACCAAGCTAAACAAACACACTCAGATAAAGGCAAAACACCAAGCTAAACAAACACACTCAGCAACTAACAAATCTAGCAACTAACTAAATAAACCAACGTCCATAGACTTACACCCCAAAGAAGAGCATCAAGCAACAAAAACAAAGGATCCTCAGCAAGGGAAGAACATCAAGACCACTACTAGGACAACAATACATGTTCTGCATAACTTCTTTAAACTTCGAAGTGAATAAGACAATACCACGCGTCCATCCTGTAATTAAAAAAAATAATATAATAATATTTTTATGCTGACAACAAAATCCAATTACTAGAATGATATGCTAAACCTGGATATCATCATTATAATAAAGCAAAAGATTATGAGCGTGACTTGTTTTTTATCATTTTAAAGTAAAAGTTGTATTTTCAAAAAAGATTAAAATTGTCTCGAGTTCATTTTAATGGACTAGACTAGACTATGCAATCCGCCATTTGGGATCTATTATGGGTCTCACTTCACTCCAGTGATTTGAGTTGTTTATTTTGTATGCCTATGCCGTCTGTGTAAATCATTTATGAAAAAATTCAAATTGATTTGACAATCATATCAACATGATTTTGTCTTAAAAAAATGGAAAAATGGAAGTTTATTTTCAAAATTATACTTATCATCTAGGATTTTAAGACAAAGATGATGTAATCATATAATTAGGATTGTCAGATCATTCAGCTTTTGTTAATCAATTTGTACAGTGTGAGCATATGGACCATTTAAACTCACATTTTGTAGTACGGATTGAATATTAAAATGCAACAATAGGTGTACTTTTAAAGACTATTGGTGTAATTAATCCTATTTTATAAGCACGAGCTAGAATGGAATGGAATTATAATTTTCAATATGAACCTTCCCCTCATGGGGAACATTCAGTTATTCAATTTTGGAATATTAGTACACTATTTGTTGCATATAATTTACAAGCAAACAGGTTCAAAACCAAGATCAATGGACTTTTTTACTGCGTCCATTACCAACTGAGTACTTCTGCTAATCTTTGCCCATTTACTATCTGGGCTGCTCTTAGAATCCCTAATGCCCTTGACCAGCCTAGAAAATTCTTGGACCATTAGAGCCTCTTGGGGAAGCTGAGAAGCCACTTGAACTCTTTGGGGCTTCACATTCCACCCAATATGGAGATCCACAAACTTAGCACCCGATGTGAAGTCAAAAAAAGCTGAATTCTCTTCATAAGGGATGATGAAGTCTTCGACATGGAGCGATCCATTGGATCCGTATAAGGCCAAGTCCATGGATTCATGTGACAGGAAAGAGCAGTGAAATGTCGCGGCAATTTGTTCTGTGTCCCAGTGTAGAGAGGCGCTGCAGGACAAGATGACTCCAGCTGAATTTCGAGCTGTTGCAGGCAGAGCAACTACAGTTGTTGGTAGTTGGTAGTTCATTGCCCACAAGATGGCTCCAATGCAGTACCAGCCCGTGTCACCAAGAGCACCGAGCGGGTCCATGTCTGGCTTTACTCTTACGTTGTTTTCAAAAAATTCTGGGGCACTGGTAAACGTTGAACTGCTGTGGATCTTCAGGACAGAGGAATTGTTGTGGGAGTAAGTGTTTGTTAACAAATCATTGATCATAAATTCGTACATGTTATATCTGTGAAATTTAGGGAAAAGAACACTGTGGAACATGAAGTGACAATTCTTATACAGACCAATTCTACAACTAATGGTGTGATTAATCACTAATCTACATAACATTCTGTTCAAGTTAAAATCATTTGATATTCAGCAAAAATAGGCGTAAACACATTCTCGAAATTTTTTTGAGAAACATTGCATCTTAGTATCTTACAACAATAATAACAATAACCATTTTGTAAGATGGCTGCCATTTTGCTGAATAAACCCCCAACAATTTCTAATGCACTTCTTACTCTTTGACACGTGGGTACCATTCAATTACAATGAAGTGATCAATATGCCTTTTAATTCTCATTAAGCAGGCTAGTTGGTACAGTTTTAAGTTATTATCTGTTAGTAATTCTCAGAATTGGGAAAAAACACTCAAACAAAAAGAAGGAAAAAAACTTGGGTATGTGGGTAGAATCAAACTCCTAACCTCCTAGTGAGATGCACTAGATGTAGAGGCTCAGATCACCAAGTCAACACCTTGAATATCTATCCGTCTTTCTCATAATTGATTATAAGGGAAATGAATTTGGAGCTGGCCTTTATAATAATGGGCAAATCATGAATAAAGTTTGTACGCAATAAATAATTATTTAGTACTACCCGAGCCCGAACTCAACATGTTGATATAATCCTCCCAAATCAATAAGAATAGTAATCATGGAATTGATAGAGCCAACCTAAATGACCTTCTATTTATTTATTTAAATAACTATGGTATGGATAAATTTTTTTCTTAAATTACATTAAAATGCGATTGCTAATCAGCCTGACACAACATCATCTAAACTACATTTTTTTTTTCTTCAAATGTATATTCAAGTAAAAAAATATTAGTAATAAAAAAATATATGATTTCCGAACATGCTTTAATGTAATTTGAGAAAAAAAGTTATCCATAGTTATTTAATTTTGAAATTATTAAAAACAAAAAAACTAAACAGGTCAAAGACCAGTGGCATTATTCAAGATAGGCGAGCTATTTTCACAAAAGGGTAGCTTTCAGGTGGACAATACTCTCAAATCTTGAATATGATCAGTGAATCAGTGATTGATTATTTTGCAATACACTGCAAATAATAAATAAAAGGACAAATTACATATACCCCTCGAGGTTTAGTAAAATTACAAATACTCCTGAGGTTTGAGAAATTACAGATACCCTAAGGCCATGTTTGTTTGGGTGGACATGAGCTTGGGATTGGACTAATAGTCCAATAAAATTATTAATCCGATGTTTGGTTAAACAATTGAAGTATGAACTAATTATTTTAAACTTGACTATTAGTTAAGATATGATACATAATCTAACGGATTCGTAGTCCTAGGACTATTAATCATGGGAATGCTAATCCAGTCCGCCCAAACAAACATGACCTGAAGGTACTATTTACCTAACAAATTAGGAGGTAAATTGTTATGAAAATATAAACCTCAGAGGGCAATTTGTTATGAAAATATAAACCTCAGGGCTATTTATAATTTCTAAAACCTCAGAGATATCTGTAATTTAGCTAAACCTCGAGGGAGGTATATGTAATTTGCCCTAAATAAAATAAACAACAAAAATTACCCATTTGAGTTGTCCAAAAAGCAGAGGATCAGATGCCAATTCCTTCATTTTAGCAGTTCTTGGGTGATGATGCCACATAGTCCCATCCATGAACTGCAAACCGTTGGATTCACAGGCATCCAATATCTGATCAAGCTCCTCCACATCAAGAGCCGTCGGTTTCTCCATCAGCAAATGCTTCCTCTTCTGAGCAGCCAAGACTGCCCATTGCACATGAAGGCTAGTTGGCAAAGGCAGGTACACAGCATCAATCCGTGGATCGTCCAGCAACTGATCATAGCTCCCGTAGATCTTAACGGTCTCCGATAAGCCATTTTTTAAGGCAAATTGTTTCGCTTTTTCAATCGAACGGCTAGCGATGGCGTGGAGAGTTGAGTTGGGAGATAAATTGATGGCTCTGGAGACTTTTCTGGCAATCTCAGCACATCCTATGATGCCAAATTTTATGGGAATGTTGTCGTCCCCCATTTTTCTGAGGCTGCTGCTGTGATGGGAATCATGGTCCCTGAAATGATATATGATATATGAAATGGGAGTGTGCATATTCACACCATTGATTAGAATCAACGTGGGATAGTTTCAGCCTATAATTTTTTAAGGATAGGAACTGCCCATAATTTTTTTTTTGGATAAATTACATTGACATCGTCGGAGGTTTATATTTATTTACAATAATGTTAGGTATCATAAAAGAAGTATTATGAAAAGTTTTCATGAAAATTCTTCACCATTGAATTAGTTTATAGTGTTTGTAATGTTTTATTGTATGTTATACAATCACCCTTGGATTAGTTTCATGAAACCTTTCATGATATGTTTTTCATGATGCGTAATATTACTCATTTATGTTTATTACAGTTCTCCTTCTTTTTTGAAAATAACATCCTCTTCCATGAGGTTTAAAGTTTCATTACAGATTACTCCCTTCAGGAATTTAATTTTTTTAAATACTAATTTTGCCATCACTAGGTAAATTATATTGACACCTCTCACATTGTAGAAATTACAACTCCCCAGGTTTAAAGTACCATTACCAATTGTCTCATCAGTTAGTATTAGTTAAAAAAAAAATTCATTGAAAAAAAAAAATTATTTGAAAAAATATTAATTGAAAAAAAAATTTGTGAGTCACGTTTTTAAATTTCTATTTAAAAACCAACGTAAGATAAAAATTACACTGGCATCTCCTGAGGTTTATGTATATTACACTCGAAAGATACAAATTATATAAAAATGATAATTATTTATTATTTATTATTTTTTATTTCTTAACCAAATTAATTTTTAATTTAAAAAAAAATTCTAAAAATCAAATCATACATAACCTAAAAATCTTTTGATAAATCATTTCTTACGTTGGTAACTCATTTAATTATTTGTTAATTTTACGACATTTTTACTATCTGAGGCCTATTTGGTAACCATTTCATTTTCAGTTTTCAATTTATATTTACAAAAATTTTTAAAATTGTCATAAAAACTTATTTGATAATTTTTTTTGTTTATAAATGGTTACCTCAGTTTGTAAATTTGAGTAAAACGTAAATTCAAAAAATGAATTTACATTGATTTTTAAATAGAAATTTAAAAATTTGACTAACAAAAATATTTTTCAATTAATTTTTTTTTTCAAATAAATTTTTTTTCAATGAATTTTTTTTTCAATTAATACTAACTGAGGGGCAGTTGGTAATGCTACTTTAAACCTTGGGGAGGGGATTGTAATTTCTAAAATGTGAGGGATATCAATGTAATTTACCCAGTGAGGGCAAAATTGGTATTTAAAAAAATTAAATTGTTGGAGGGAGCAATCTATAATGAAACTTTAAATCTCAAAGAGAGGATGTAATTTTCAAAAGGTAAGGAGAGAAATTATAATAAATATAAATCTCAGGGGGTGTCAATGTAATTTACCTTTTTTTTTTTGATATGCTGGTCATTTTTTATTTTTTACGCAATGGGGTACTTAGATATCATTTTAGTAGATGGAAGAGGCTCTTGAATTATGAAAAAATAGAATTTTGAATTGACGTGGAAGCAAAAATACTTGAATATTATTGAATACAAATTCTCTTTCTCATGAGGTCACCATACTATTTCATTTTTCATTTTTTATTAATGGCAATAAATATTATAGGGTTTTTAAAGCAATAAGGAATTAGATATCATTTGAATAGACGAAAGGAATTCTTCTTGAATTTGCGAGAAAATAAAAAGACTTTTGAATTTACAAGAAAATATAATTTTGAATCGACAAGAAAACAAAAATATTTGATTTTCTATATAACAAGGAAGGGAGCTTTTCAAATCTACTCATTAATTTATTTGGATTTTTTTAATTTCAAAATCAAAAAGCTTATGTTGCTTTTTAAATTAAATTTCAAAATGGGTTAGCAGATACGTTTTTTTCATAATTTTTTTTTAAAATAATTAATAAAAAAATTGAAATCATCATTTTTTTTTAAAAGTAAAAAGTTAACCCGTTTTCGTAATAAATTGTGAAAACATATTTACAAAATCTGTGAGAACTCCTTGCTTAAGGAGCTAGTCCGCTGGAGAGTTATGTGGGTGCACTATCCCATATTGCTAGTCACAGCTCTACTATATAAGTGGACAAATTTCCTTAGACTAGTATGAGGCATTTTAAAGCCGCGAGGCATTAGTTGTTGGTTTTTGCCTAACTTAAAAGAGGACAATATCGTGCTAGTCGAGAAGGATTAGCCGCTTTATTTGGCGCTGTCTGTAAGGAGTTATGTGGATGCATTATCCCACGTCATTGATCACATTTCCACTACATAAGTGGACAAACTGCCTTAGACTAGTATGAGGCTTTTTAAAGCCGTGAGCCGTTAGCTGTTGGTTTTTACCTAACTCAAAAGAGGACAATATCGTGCTAGTCGAGAAGGGTTAGCCGCTTCATTTGGTGCCGTCTATGGGAATTCCCTGCTTAGGCAATTTGTCCACTAGGGAGTTATGTGGATGTATTATCCCACATCGCTCTATTAGCTAGCACAACTCCATTACATAAGTGGACTAACTCCCTTAAACTAGTATGAGGCCTTTTAAAGCCTTGAGGGGTTAGATGCTGGTTTTTGCCTAACTCCACAGCGGACAATATCGTAATGGAGCTGTGATCTCTCATAGAGCGATATGCGATAGTGCACCCACATAACTCCCTAATAGACTGGCTACCTGAGCAGAAAGTTCCCACATACGGCACCAAATGAAGCAGCTTACCCCTCACGGCTTTAGAAGGCCTCATACTAGTCTAAGGGAGTTAGTCTACTTATGTAATGGAGCTATGGTCTCTTACAGAGCGATGTAACGCCCCGAAAATAATTACAATAATTCGACACAACACAATATACATAAGGCAGCGTAATCAAAATAATAGACTTCTATTAACTTGAATTGTTATTCAAAAGTGACACATGCGATATACATTCATAAATAGTTTATCTTGAATCTACAACATGTGTTACAAGTAGTAAAGAGGAATGAAAGTTAAACAGATAATTATATGCCCTAAAGGCTTACAACTTTCCAAGTCATTGCTTGGTTACAACAAGAGAGAGTCTAACTCTATACAATTTAAGCCCTTGGCTATACAAATAAGTACAAAAGTAAAGCCCGTGCTCTAAACTCCTTCTGAGCTACTGCCTTGGCGGAGGCATAACATCAACACCTGAAATGGTTTTCCCAAATAGGGTGAGCCAAAACCCAGCAGGAACAATCTAACACCGCATATAGACCTTAACAAAGATATAAGTATAATGTGCATCTACAATGGCAGTGAGAAAACATTTATATTCTATATCATCATAAAGTACCAAATTTCATAACTCAATCATTTTTCCTTCTCATCAGTTCCAGCTAAATCATTTCTTCTCAATTTATGAGCCAAATTCATTATCTTTCAAACAACCAATCTGTGACTACAACTCAGTGGTTCTCAAATTAACACAATCATCACACAAGCACTTTAATTTTGCCATTTTACGAAAATTTCGTCCGCAGGATCGGCACCTATATATACGCGCGGTTTCGGCACTTTCACCCAGGACACACAAGCCAACTTAGTTCAATGTAGTCCATCCCCTATCTCCTCTCAAACAATAGAGTACATCTCATTTCTTCTCCCAAACAATCATACATATATAATGTATTTAAAACTTAGTCATATTCGATGACAATCAACAAGAGATTAATTTAAATTTACCTAATCTTTATGCAATTTCTACAACAATCATAGTTATCCTCCACCGAAAGCCTAATGCAGATATTTCTAAACATATATTAAATCTCAAGACAGATAGTTTATTCAGATTTTCAAAAGGTGTGAGATAATGCATATCCAACTATACCATTAACACCAACATTCATCCAGTTTCATATTTATAATTCCAATTTCATTTATTTATACAAAATAAATATTTGAACCATTTTAGGTTAACTTCTCTCTTTTCCAAATACCAACCCAAATGCCAAAATCAACAATTGTGATACAATATAACCTCATTTTCAAACCTCATGACTATTTATATTACATTCACTAGAAACCCCCATTTTGATTTTACATCCCAAACCCTAAGTTTGTCCAAAATACTCCACAAACCCATCATTGTTACACAACAACCAATAACTAAGTTAAAATCCATAAAAAGGTGTACAAAATCCTTACCTCAAAGTTAGGAGACGAGCAAAGCAAGGTGGAAACTTCAATGACGCCGAAACCAAGTTCCAATCGGATCAAAACGGAACTCTAGGAATGCTCTAACTTTTTCTCAAAGGTACTAGGGTGGAAAACCCAATGGATTTAGATAAAAATGTAGAGAGAATGTGAGTTTTAGAGAGAGAGACTCAAGATCTAGGTTTTTGTAAGTTTTAGAGAGAGAGAGTGGAATAAAAAAGTGAACTAAAAAGTCGTCCTCACAGACTGATATACACATAGTCCGCTCGAGCGCAAGAAGTGACGCTCAAGCACTGAAAGATATCGCTTGAGCTCAAGATTGGCCGCTCGAGCACCCACCCGCTCGAGTGTAGGAAACACCGCTCGAGCGTGGAATACATTCTTCTAGTATTTTGTAGGTTTGCAAAAATACTAAGAGTTTGCAAAGCCCGCTCGAGCGCAAGAAGTGTCGCTCGAGCGGAGGAGCAAAAATTTGAGCAACAAAGGTTCGAAAATCAAGCAACCAACCTATTCCAAACAAGACCAATATAATCCAATCCAATAACCAAATTTAAGGAAGAATAAGAGGAAAAAGACATGACAACCATACGAGGCTACGAAATCCGAGTCCAAAATACAAAATGGGTCGGTTCTAAACCAGAAACGCTATAGAGCGATGTGGGATAGTGCAGCCACATAACTCTCTAGTGAACTGGCTACCTAAGCAATGAGTTCCCACAGACGGCGCCAAAGAAGTGGTTAACGCTCCTCGACTAGCACAATATTGTCCACTTTGGAGTTAGGCAAAAACCATTAGTTGATAAAGCGGCTAACCCTCCCCGACTA